TGCAACAATTGTGGTTCTTAATAGATCATTTACTGCTATGGAGTCTGTTGATTTAGCTTTGAATGGTGCCATATTTTTAACAAAAATGCAATCTAGGATGAGAAGTGCACTTGTGAAAAGCTTGCCAAACCCTCTATGTCAACGCCTTATTCCTCTTGAAAGGTGTTTTTCTTTCTTTTTTTTTTGATAGATTATTCAAATTTGAAAAACAAGACAGCCTGACAATTTAACCATTTATTCCATTTACAAGCACAAGCCTGAGAAGCACTTGGAAGAACCACATGAGAGCCAGACAGCTCCTCGTCATGCTGGTCACCAGCCAGGTCAAACACTGCTGAAGGGTGGCCTCCCATTTTTCAGCTAGCATTTGTCACAAATCAGTCAAACCTGGTTGTGCTGGACTTTTTAAAAGCTGAAATGTTGCATCTTTTCACATGAGGCTCCTTGAAGTTGGTGTTGTTTATCATTCACTGACCTGCAGTAGAAGGATGTGATATGACTGAGTTTGTGGAGGAGTCAAAGGCTGAAGATCTTTTACAAAAGATAATTGTCATGTTTGTTGCTGGTGGGGATGTTTTTGTCCATCAATGTGCACATAATTGTGCTGCATTAGACTCGTGACAGCATCATGTGCCTGAATTGACAAATACTTATGAGGACTGTAAATGCACAAGAACGCGTCATATTTGATGCTGTTACACAAGAATCACTATAACATAATTCAGAAGGTTACTTCAGTCTTAATTAAGGAGTAATGGTTAGGTGGGGTAGAGTTGGAAATGCCTTAAACTCAAGTGTGATGCAATTTCCAAATCTGACCTCAAACTTCTGTGACAAAAATAAACTCACCATTAAAACAGACTGACAATTAGTGCTGGTCTGTAGTAACACATATTTTGTTCTATAAGAAAATAGCACAAAGTTGAAGGAATATGCTAACAGTGGACGGCTAACAACTGTGAGTTTGTAGTTATTTTTTGACTACAAACTCACATAAATATGAAATCTTTCTATGGGTAAGGAAACTGTCACTGATAATAAATTAACAGAGATTCACTTCATATTATCTAAACTATCACTTGAAGATGTGTTCTTTGTTCTTCCATTGGATGCTTACCAACCCATCTCTAAAACGGCATTTCAGCTACATGGAAGATGAAATAGAAAGCAAGATCTTCACCAGACAAAAACACCACAAACACAAACGGTTGTTTGCATGTTAAACAGCTAACATTGTGCTACCACTTTATCTGCCAGCTGCTGTGTTGCAGCCCACAGATTTTGTGTTTATTCCAGTAACTGATGTGGCCACAACATATTTACATGATGGCGCCACGAAGGATCTGCAAAATTAATTGCACAAGTACTTCCAAGAAAGCGCTAACATTATTGCACTTCATCTCAGTTGTGTATTTTGGAAAAAAAAAATCCATCCATCCATTTTCTGTACACCTTTGTCCCTTAGTGGGGTCAGGAGGTGCCTATCTCTAGCTAACTTTCCGGGCTAGAGGCGGGGTCACCCTGGAAAGGTCGCCAGTCTGTCGCAGGGCAACACAGAGAAAGACAACCATGCATATACACACTCACACCTAAGGAGAATTGAGAGAAACCAATTAACCTGACAGTCATTTTTTTGGACTGTGGGAGTAAGCCGGAGTACCCGGAGAGAACGCACGCTTGCACAGGGAGAACATGCAAACTCCATGCAAAAAGATCCCAGGCTGGGAATCAAACCCAGAACCTTCTTGCTGCAAGGCAACAGCTCTACCAACTGCGCCACTGTGCAGCCCAGAAACAAAATCCATTTATATAACTGTATTCAATATTATATAGTTAAGGCAAAAGTTTGTATTACCTCCTTGCAGCTTAAGCAAACAGAATTGGGTCTTCTCAGGTTACATTTCCTCTACAAAGAGGTAAGAGTAAACAGTTTCTAACAGGCACTAGCTGGTATAACATTCTCATGGTATAATAACTTTGAGTAAAAGCACCATAGGTATCAATAATACCACAAAGGTTTCAGGCAAAAATGCATACCTTGATCTCATTGCGAGCTCCACAGTAGTTCAGTTGTTTGCACTGTTGACTTGACACTGTCGATGAAGGTCACGGGTTCAAATCCTGGTCAGGTCATTTCTGCATGCAAAGGTTCTTTATAGTAGTGTTTCCTAACCCTGGTCCTCCAGGCACACTGCCCTGCATGTTTTAGGTGTTTTTCTGCTTCAGCACACCTTCTTTCAATCTATAGCTGATTAACAGGCTTTGATTGAACTACAATCATATGAAACAGGTGTGCAAAAGCAGGAAAACATCTAAAACTTGCACAGCAGTGTGAATGGAGGGTCAGAGCTGGGAAATACTCCTCTATAGGAAGCTCAACTTCCTCCCATACTCCAAAATATGTATGTTCAGTTACATGGTCTTTCTAGATTGCCAATAGGACTGAGTGTGTGTGTGTGTGTGTGTGTGTGTGTGTGTGTGTGTGTGTGTGTGTGTGTGTGTGTGTGTGCTTGTTTGCCCTACATGTGTCTGTGTTGCCCTGTCATGCACCAACAAACTGTCCAAGCTGTACCTGCATCCTGTCCAATGATTGCTGGAGATCGGTGTCAACCCTCCTACAAATGGCCTGCACTTGCATAGGCCACTGCACTTTACACTACATTCAGTCATTCACCCATTCACATGCTAATAGTGGAAAGGTACTGGATAGTAGCCACAGTTGCCAGGCACCAGCACCACCAGGCTGCCTGAACAGCACCAGCAGACAAGGCGGGTGAAGGACGCAACAACTGAGACACACAGAGCGGGGACTCAAACCGGCAACCTACTGATTATGGATCAAACTCTTACCACCGCTGACAAGGTATAGACACTAAGTAGATAGTCACTCCAAGTGCTTTTATCAAACACATTTAAACCTGTGGGTTACCAAATGAAGTTTTAAATTGGTGTTACCTTGGTAAGAATAAAAGGCGTGGCCTTTTAGTGTTCAATTCTTGATTACCTGTGTTTTAGTGGCTCGAAATATTTCAAAAAAGCATTTTTTCTCTGTGAGCAGGTGGCCCTACTATAATACTATAGTAGGGCCATATGCGATATCAGGAAAACATTTAATTAAAATACTGTTCCTACATATTGTGACAACAACATAGATTATAATTAACCCACTTATTTTTTTATAACTTTACTTCTCTTTTCCTGCATCATAAAGACATTCCTCAAGTGTTGGCATCAAGGGCAGTAAAAGTCCACCCAACAGGCCCGAAACATTATTTGCATGCTGAAGGCATGTAAATAATATGCAAATAATATAATTGCATTTATAATATAAGAAAACCAGTTGTTGCATTCAAAAAGTCCTTATCAGTTGCAATATTGCACACAATGTTATGACGACTATTGAAATTTGATATATTATCCGACAGCAGCTAAGCGGCAGGCAGCACTACCTTCAAAACTCTAGTCTCTTTGACACTTTCGTTTGCATCTCGTCAATAAAACCGCTGGAATATTGACAGAGAATGTTTGCACTTGTGAAACCTTTCGTTTATTGCACCTTGAAATACCTCGGGGTCAGTAACCATCCCAAGCCCAGTTTCTAATTAGAGCTACATTATAAATTTAGCCTAGAAGATTAATGTTCCTGTCAAGTCCCAATGTTCCCTAATCACCAATATCCCAGAGGCTCGGTAAAGGTGTCCAATGTGTCAGATTTGATGGACTTGTTGAAGGAGGTTGTGTTTTCCACTGTCTTCGTCTTGATTCAGAGATGTCTCAGCGCCTCATTTGGACGGATCGCTTGCCAACTCATCTAGCGTTCTGTGTCACATGCTCAGCAACGCGCTGCCTTTCCACCACCGTGAAATTATCACCACCACCCCCCACCCCCTCCACCTTTATCCCCCTCTCCACACCCGCCGACCCTGCCTGCTCATCCATCCAATCTGTACCAAATCTTCCATTCCTTCTTTTCTCCCTCTTGCTCTCTGCTGCATCAACCTCCGCCCCTCTGCCCCATCTGCCTCCCTACTGTTAACCCCCCTCCCTCCAGCCCCTCAACAGCTCCCTTGCACAAGCTCTCTCTTTTTTTTCCCCTCTCTCTCACTCTTTCTCTTGAGTGTGTCAGGCAAACACACACACACACACACACAGAGTGTACACAAACACACATGTTCTTCTGGTGCCACACAATAAATCCCAACCCCCACTGAAAATAAAATACAGTAAAGCTCTTGTAAATAGGAACGACTGTGGAGATACAAAATGTCACAACCGTCCTGCTTTTTTCTCTCCCACTGGGGTAACGAACATGCGCCGCTCTTCCCTTCTGCCCCCTCCCGTCCTCTTCCCCACATCAAGATTTACAGTAGATCCATGAACAGCTGGACACAAGTAAACCAAATGGATTATGGTTCTAGAAGGAGATTGTTATTAATCGATGTAAATGGGCTCCCTGCAAAAAGAAAAACGGGAAGCTTCACTCGCAAAATCTCACGGCGATTCCAGGGCCTCGATTTTGCCGTCTTATCCCAAACTCCTAGGGATCTGTGCACGTTGGCTGTCTGGTGAAGCCCAGCTGTGCTCAGCATTTGATTGTGTGATGGCGGGTTTTATGCTCCTGTTTCCCTCCCTGTTTGTACAGCTTATGGCCTGGACTGATCACATCCACGCACGCACACACATGCACACACCTTTGCTGCATCCTCCACTTGTCCTACATACAATATTACGTAAACTAAGCACTGTATTCACATAAAGGCATTCTATAAGAATCAAAGATGCTCTAGGGAGATGATGAGTCAAATTGCAAATGCAAGATAGCAGCGTCCATTGGCACTGAGCTAAGAGGGTGGAGGAGGGGATTGGACAGCCTGCCTGGCTGCTTCAGTGCCATCTCTGAACATCTCTCTTCCCATTTTATCATTCTGCTTCAGCAGAACAGTCCCAGTGAGATCCCATCGTGCAGATAAGAGAAAAAAGGCACAGTGAGAGCAGCTTACCGTGATCTCAAGCCAGCATCCGTTTACAAAAGGATACTGCAGACAAGCCCTTGCAGGGAAAGGAGAAGGCTCAGTGCAATCCACCTTCAGTGCCTCTGCTTCATCTTCATGCCGTCCTCATTTTCACTGCACACACAAAGTACGCCTCTCACTCTTTCTCTCTCTCTCTCTCTGTCTGTGTGCGTCTCTTTCAGCGGCCCTCTTCCTCTGTCTTCTAACCGTCTGTGTTCTGTATCCTCTCTTGCTTGCTCCAAGGCAGTTGAGACACTGCAGCGATGGGGGTGGAGGGTGTGTGTTTGAGTGTGTCGGAGAAGGAGAGGCAGAGAGAGGGAGTGCAGGGCAGAAACAGAGGGAGGAGTCAGTGGAGATAGAGAAAGAGAGAGAGAGAGAAAGGGAGAGAGGAGGTCAGGATTAAATCATGAGAGTGACAGAGAAAAGGGGGAAAACACACGTTGATGGTTTCAGCATCTTTGTTTCGATTCTTGTTCTGACTGCAGGGGGGGGAGGCTGCGCACCCTGACGGCTCGGTTGAAAACAAACCATCATCTGTTCTTTGAGGGTGTAATATTCTTCATGACAGGGCCAGCAGTAGGTTTGGTTGTGATTTCATTGATGAGTGAAAAAACATGCAGGACAGGGAGAGGAGGGAGGAGGAGGGCACAGGGAGGGAGGACAAACATGACGACAAAGGAATGGGAGGGGGATTGGATGATGGTGTAATGTGCTGTTTCCGTGCCAACTGTTTCTGTGACAGTGAGACCACTTCCTTTATTGCTATTGGCTATACCCAGGAAATGATAGAGGCTCAGGCAAATAGGGCAGCATGCCACGGGGTGGTTCCCTGTTCATTGTGCCTTACTGTTGTAGATCATCTCAAATTAAACAAATTTACCTAAATGAAGGAACTACTGGAACATAACAAGCAGTTCCTCTTTCCCTTTACATGTGTAAAGAGTCTCCTCCCTTATTTATTTTACACACATACTCAAACAGACTGTCCAGCAGGAACAAAATCCCCAGATTGCTCGGAGTATGTGGTGTAATGCAATTGCCTGAACACCGATCCTGGTGTCATAAACTATGAGATAATTAATCGGCTAAAGGCCAGAGCAAGTACGCATCTGGTGGTGGTGGGGGGAGGTGAACACTGACCTTTCATCTGGGTCTTTTTGGGATATTTGACAAGCAGGTGTTGAATTATTTGCTCACTGCTACACTGTTGCTTTAGCTCTTATTCCTTTTTGTTATTTTCAGTGGGTTAAAATCATCTCACTTCTGCTTTAGAGACCATTCAGTGCTGCACATCAACATTTGGTTTCAGTGTTTCATGTAGCAAAGACAAACAGAACACATCCTCAACTTTTAAGAGTGTGGGAAGAACTGTTACTTCAGTTATGCTCAGTTCAAAACATTCATTCAAACATTATTTGAATGTTATCTTATCCAAATAAGATAACATTTGAGCAGCCTTGACCCTGTAAAACTTAGTTTTGCCAACTTAGGGTCTTTAGTTGTTGATATCTCTTTTAAAATGTCAAACTTTTGATAAGGCGCTTTTAAGACAGGTAAAGAAATCATTAGGTTGGAATTTGCATTCGGGTTTAAATGTAGCCTTTCTGTACCATTTCTAACTTGTGACTGTAGCATATATAGTATAACACTGTTTTGGTTTATGTCACTACATGGATGGATGTGCGAGCTGCCATTTTATTTAACTAGTTATTAATTCAGCTACCTGTTGAGCTGTAAGGGAAAACAGATGTACTTAATAAGCACACGTTAGGCCATGTTTATTTTCTAAAAGGCACATATCATTGTATTAAAAAATAAAAAAAAGTATGACACGGATAAATCTCAACTAGAATTTCTATTCCTTTTCAAAGCACATGAGTGATTTTAAAACACACTAAAGGAGCAGTTGGAGCCACACTTCTGGAAAATAAAAACTCACCACTATAGAGGATTTTGTCTGAAACACCGGAGGGGCGGCTGCCTGTTGCTATAAATAGAAAACTGATTATTTTCTTGACAAGGCATATCTATTACTAAATGTAATGGATGTGTGGATGTTTAGTGACAACGCAGAAAAGGATGGACTATGAAGAAGTAAATAATGAGAATGCATTCACAACCAGCTACAGCCTCTGTGTTGGAAACGTTTTGCCCCAGGAATATGAAATAATAATTGGAAACTCAGCTCTGAGGTAAACATGAGGTTGAGGGATGAGAACAATTTATGCTACAGCTATGAAAAACTATTCATTCAATTGCTAACCATCAATCTATCAATTTCTCCATCCATTCATACGGCGATTTTACATATATGTTTATATATATAAACATACACACACACACACACACACACACACACACA